CAGCTAAGCTTCATTGGGCTGCCAGTTGTGAGATGCAGGGCGATATGGCTGCTAGCATAGCATAGTAAGTAGGTGGCGCTGTATTCCCTTGACCACCAACGCCCAGTATCTCAACAGAGGACACAGTAGGAGACACCATTCCGAGATGAGATGATAAACTGAGGTCCTAACTACCTGTGGTCACTAAAAACCTGAAGAGTAGGGATATTAACCCCTGGCCTCCCTGTAGCTCTCCCTTAATTTGAAAGGTGAAAAAATGTCTCGATCCTATCCCTGATCTGATATGTGGTGGGGCTGCTTCACATTGCAGGTGCATAAAGTGGATCACTGGGTGCCTTTGGGATGAAAAGCTCTATACAGATGCAAAAAATAATAATAATTCTACTGTAAGTTCCTATATATAGCTCCTGGAAGTCAAAATGGGAAGTTACTATGCATTGTATTGGGAAAGACGGTCTTTCCTAAAGAGTTAAGGTGCATTCTTTTTCTATTATCCTTGACCTACAATAAAAAAGCCAGACCAACTTCACAGCGAACACAAACTACTTTATAGCCAGCCCGGCACTGCACACGTCACATGTACAGAGCATGTGACCTGCTCTTACAAAACAAGACTGTTTAATGTCAGTTCACAGCCTTGAATTTCTGTTTTATTGACAAGAGGGGGTTGGGAGTGAAAATACCAGAATTTGTCTATTAATTTTAGTCGGGTCCAGATAAACATGGGCCTATTTTCTAGAATCAAAATGTCAGGAGATTAAAAAAAAAAATCTTTAAAACATGAGCAAAGCAATGGGGAAAAATAGTCCAACTAAAATGATAAAAGAATATTTTATTACTTTAATTTCCTCTTTAAATACACCAGTACATACACAAGTTTTACACAAGTACTTTTATTTTTATTCATATATAGCGTTTCATTTATTTTACAATTTGACAAAAAAAAATACTGCAACTGCACTAAAGGAAGTCAATGGTAATGATAAACCAATCAGGTGCAGCTTAAACAGAAGACTTCGCCAGCACTATCACCTCCAAGGAGTTGTGTTAAGATGATATCCTCTACGTATACCAAGAAGCATGCAACTCAAGAAGACAATGCAATGCAATAACTGAATCCTTACTAGAGGAAAAGAAGCTACCTCAGGCCAAAGAGTCTTCATAGTTAGCAGCTACTGATCATGTCTCTGACCTTCTTTTCCCCGTGGAAATGATGTGGGCAATGCGAAATGCAGTCACTGGAACATTTGTATTTTTGGTCACAGTACCTAGAGATGCAGGGGGCAGTGTGGAGTACTAGACTAGAGTACCAGACGACGCCAGAACTGGACTAAGGAGCTGTTCTTTGTCCCAATTGCTTCCCTCAATACATGCTTCTTGTTCACTATGTCTTCTGGGGTGGGGGTTAACCTGCAAATGGACTGGCATCCTATTACAGGGTATCATTCATTCTCAGTTAGCTTAATGTTAAAGAAACCGGTATCTGGAATCATTTTAACTTACAAAGGCCATAAAAGCATCCTTAACCCCCAATAACCCCCACCCCTCCTCCTCTTCTTCAAACAGTCTCTGCTTCTTACCATGTTGGTTTACTGTTGGCTCTCTCCAGATATAAAAAAACACCAGCTGGCCTTTTGCACTAGCTATGAGCACTATTTCATTCCCAGAACAGGCTTAAAAAAATCAGAAAAAAAGTACATTGTTCAAAAGCTAAAACTTATCAAAGCAATAAGTAAAAAGACCTTTTAATTTTTTTTTAATTCCTTGTAGAATTGGGAACAAAATGCTGAGTGACTGGAACAAGCTGGTTTTGAGTTGTACAAGTAGTGTGGCTTAGTATTCTCTACTAAAAGATCATATCCCCCTCCATAAACCTCCACAGTGACTCACTGGTTATGCTGCCATCAGTGATACTAAATTAATGCTATCTGAATGCATTCCCAATTTTGCTGTAAAACTCACTGAACCCCATTAGTCCACCTCTCCATTTTAAAAACAAACAATCAAGATTAGGAGACCATTTATCTGCAGGTAATGAAAACTGCCCACAAGCTGCCTTAATTGTTGTCAATTAGGCTGCAAAGTGTCCCACAGAAATTTCATAACTGTGACACCACAACACACAGGATTTGCCAAAAAGGAAAGTGTTCAACAAGTGCAATCGGTTACAAACATCCATTAGAGCACAATGGATAAACATTCACATCCATCTTCCTTTCTCCTGCTTTTCACACTCAAAACAAAGTCATACTTTCCCATCCATTCCCACAGCAGGAACTATGTGACCTCCCAGCAGGATGGTGCTCTCAGTGCATTGCAGCAGAACTATTTCTAAATGGATTAGGGATGACTTACTGGGAGAAATCAAGCAGACAAGAAATCTGTGCATCAATGTGAACAGTGTTATCAGGAGATCTTGCCTGATTCTAGAAGCCAACTCGCTGAACAAGGCTGTGTCAAAGTGCCAAGCAAAATCCCAGAGTTAAGAGAACCAACTAGGAAATCAGGATGGATACAAATCCCAGAGACAGCTCTGTACTGTACACTCACTGTGTACAAATAATTCCGTCATTTTATTTGATGAGCCTCTCGACATCTAACGGGTTAATCAGCACCAATTGAAGAAAACAAGGACAAGGGAATCAACAAAAGAAACGGATGAAAAGAACTGCTGTCTTAAGTGGTCATTACCTGGGAGGTGCAGAGATTTCTAATCTGGAGCTCTCCTGTCCAGCTCCCCTGCGGACCTGCCACCAGGAGGTCACTCCACAGGAAGAGGGCTTAACAGGCGAGAAGCACTGAGGAGTGTCAATTCTGCAGGTTCAGTAGCACGTACACCTGCGCCCCAGTTCATAACTTTTAAAGTTAACAATCAACTTAGACAACCAAAAGAACAAAGCTGCAATTAAAGTGTTCAGGACCCTCAAAACAACAGTTTCAAGAAAAACAACAGGTTGACGTCTGAAACAACAGATGGTTGCATCTATAAACTGCAGTCCTAAAGAAAGCAACTGTTAAGCTTTGAGCATATGAAAGATACGAGGGGAGACAGAGCTAATGTTAATAAGAGATGCACCGTCTTGCATACTGTAAAGTGAAACTGTATGCAGCAAATGTGCAGATATTTGGCTCCCCCTTGTGATGATCAAGTTTACTGCAGGTATTTACAACCACAGCTGCCAGGTACACAACTGGCAAACTTTCCTAGACAGTTGTGTAGCCCAATAAAACAATTCTATTTCTTTTAACCCGTCTTCACTCTCTGACAAATATCATTCAAAGTGTTGTGGTTGTGATAACAGCTGTCCCCCTTTAAGGTCTGGAAACGAACATCCGTGATTGAAGCCAGACTGAAAGCTTCCATTTCCAAACTTGAAAGCTCCAAGTGTAACGATCTGAACAAATCAAGTGCAAAACTATCTTGTCAATTTGAACACTGCTGCATTTGCTTAGCACACTCACTCTCTATTCGGGCTAAAAATCCAGACTGTGGTCACACGCAGGGCACCAATCTCACATTTAACATTCACACTCACCACCTACTGTTCCAAAGAGACATGAAGGAGCCATTGGGAACCAGGCATTGGATGACAAATGCTCTGATGCCGTGTCTTAGTCACAGATCACAGGTTTCATACTTCAGTCCTTGTTATCACTATACCTAATGTCTCTGAAGATTTGGAATCGGCGAGATTTTGCACTGTCGTGTACCCCGTACGCTCCACACCCCACAAGCCCTGGGATTTCGGCAGGCAACCTGGACCACAAGGCTGAGGAAAACTGTCACGCACTGGCGGGTTTGAGGAGGCTGGCCACCCTTCCTCTCTCCTTCCAAGTGTTCACTAGGTTCGCTGCTCCTATCGGACTGTTAACTACCTGGCAAAACCAATCCTGGGATCAAAGAATTCAAAACAATCTAAGACACTGGCAAAGCCAACCCAGGGGACTTCAGAACCAACAGTGAAATGCCTACGGGTTGGCTCAAGCAGAAACTGCACGGAACTGCATTTTAAACCGAGTACAAGAGGCATTTCTTTACACTAAGGGTTGTGGGGGTATGGAACAGGCTACCCAGCCATGTTGGTGATGCCGATACCCTTTCATCCTTCAAGAAACAGCTGTATCCATTAACTACTAACTACCAAAACCGGCAAGAGATGATCCAAATGGCCTCCTCTCGTTTGTAACCTCTCTGAAGTTCTTTTTTGTTTTTAATCTTAAGGAGTTGGAACAAAACAAAGGGGGTATTTGAATTAATAGTATGTTAAAGCAGGCTGCTGAAACTGGACAGCCTTTGTCTGCTATAGATTCCTCAGGCCCAGTCCGATTAAAGTGATCAGTCCTGTCTGAACCAGTCCATTTATACCACATTAACAAGCAGCTATGCACCAGGAAACAGCTTGAAAAAAAGGGTCACACTATACAAAACCTAAAGGAAATGATCATAACTTGTAACCCATTCTTACACAGCCCACCTCCTTGACGTTAATTCGCAGGTAAGTATTTTTTAATGTGCTAAAATCTCCTCCTGCTACAACAGCGGCTTGGAGACAAGACACCAACGGAATTAATAACGGCAGAAAGTGATGTCTCATCAGCAAGATTAAAAAAAAAATCTGGTGTTGACAGAGTAAACTGCGTACAAACGTATACTGAAAGTTTTAAAAGCTGCATCGATTCTGGCGTAGTGGTAAGAGAGAGTAAGCTTTCTGAACATGAAGCAGAACAATAAGGACGTACGCTTCACAACAGCCATCTTTTTTTTTTTACATGTTACTGTAAAAAAGGAAGAAAAATCTATTTTTAAAAAAAAAACGACGACAAAGAAAGAAGTCACCCGGCTGCATCAGCAGGTCAGTCCATGGTGTCGCCCCGGCAGTGCGGGGCGAGGCCACAAAGAGAGGGGTGGGAGACGCCCCCGACACCCTCGCTTCGCCAGCCCCCCCGTCGCCCCGCTCTTCCTCTCCCCGCAGGCCCCCCCCCCGGCGCCTTCAGAAGTCGCTCAGGATGCTGATGTCGGCGAACTCCTTGCGGTACCGGTGAGAGTACAGCCCCAGCAGGAAGGCCCACTTGAAGGTCAGGAAGCTCCACACGCACGACAGGTAGTAGCTTCTGGGATCAGTTAGGGCTGAAAACAACAACAAAAAAGAGGAGCTTCAGTCCAGTACTTTATATACATCTATTTTTACATCAATAGGGTGGCGGTAGAGATGGTTCCTGGGTCCCTTCATTACGAAGGATTTAATAAAGAAGGTGCCACAGCGCCTTTACCTCCTCAGACAGTTGAGAAATGTTTATCTTCAAATATTCTTACTACGTACTACAGGTGCGCTCTTGAGAGTGTGCTCACGTGTGGGATTACAGTGTGGTTTGGCAGCAGCTCAGTGTCTGACTGAAAGGCGTTACGGAGAATGATCAGGTCGACCTCCATTATTGGAGCACAGCTCCTCTCTATTGTGGACATTTTTAAATGAGTTGGGAAGGCTTGGAGTACTGTTAAGGATAAAAATAATCCTAGTTTCTCACTTTTCTCTCCCCTGCCCTGTGTTAAGCATTATAGGAGCATAAAGGGACAAGCTTCCAGATTCAGAGATAGCTTCTTCCTGCAAGATGGCAGATTATTGAATTCTACCTCTGACTCACACCAATGTGTTTTTTTTTTGCAAACTGCTTGTGCCTGACTTTTGTTTAAGATGAGTGTTATTTAACATTGTTGTTGCTGCGGCAGTTCTGTGTTTAAGCTTGGCGTTTCCCTAATGTCTTTGTATTGGTGCATACAGTATGCGAAAACAGGCATTTCATTGCAAATAAACTGAACTCTCATTGGCCCTTGAGAGAGATGAGTAGACATGCCCACCTGAATAGCCAATAATCATTCAACTTGCTGAAAGCGGACACTGACTGGAGGGGTGTCACATCTCTCACACATGCCAAGAGAACCCTGACTCGGGTTCAAGTGAGCATCATCTGGTCCACAGGGCAGAACCTGCACAACAGCTGTGTGCCTTTGCTGGCTTAAAAAATCAGGAACCAAAAGTCCCATATATTTTAAAGCATTCATTCTCAGGGAAAAAAAACTTGGTATGTTCTAAAAGATCCAACACACTGCAAAAGTAGCTTTATCTAAAATAATGCCAATTTACCTTAAACAAAATCAAGGCAGATTATCTGGGAAAGCTTAAATGTCCTGCAAATACTTCTCCGGGACCTTTCAGCTGTCTTTTTGTAACTGGGAACAGTTTTAGATGTTAGAAAGGGAAACAAACTCATCAGGGAAACAATCATGGTGTCAGATCATCAGTTGAGAAGGACGGAGGGCTCACACTGGTGCCGGGTGATGGCGAGGGAGAGGAAGGCGATGAAGGCCACCACGGCCAGCAAGGCGAAGAGCCCACCGATGAAAAGGAAGAACTTGAGGCCCTTCAACCAGGTGCGCCAGTAGTCCTGCACATACATGACGTGAGTGATCAAGGCCCACAACGCCAGCACTCCTGCAGACATGTAAAAACAAACAGTAACGTCCATGACCACGTCTCGCACAAACTATACAGCAGGATCTCGACGTCTGCAAATTTAACATTCACGAACTTGCTTATGTGATTCGTCCTGGCCAACGGGCTCTTGGGTGGTAGAAAAGCTGAGCAGGATGAATCAGAGCCGAAGGTTGTTAAGCGCAACTTTCAAATTTAGTCGCGCGACATCCCAGGATCATGAGACGAATCTAGCTAGTGAGCGAGCCTCATCCTGCCCACATCAGAATCTCAGCGTGTTCGTTTCTGGATTGTAACAAACGCTCCCGGTTCTGTGTCGGCAGAGGACTGACAGACTAGAGACAACTTTACACACTCTCTGACAGATTTATTGCCCTTTTCACTACAGTAGGGCATGATAATCACAGAGCAGGGAAGACAGAGAAAGTGCAGGCACCCACTGGACGTAGAGGAGCAATTCATGTTGTCTATTTTAGCTGAATACTATAGGTTTGTTATCACTGTTGTTTGTTTTAGTTCAATGTTATTTAAATGAACCAGTGCATTATTATTTGAATTATCATATAAGGGAGGGTTGCTTATATCTTTTAACATTTACTCTATATACTGTAGTATATTATGCCAAAGTATGGGGTACATGTGATTATATGAGAATTTGGCTATTTGTGATTGTTCTCTGCACCGAACCCTTGCGAATGTTGAGACTCTACTGCATATATAGAACTTGTAGGATCAATAACTTAATAGGAAAGAGGAAAAGTTTTTTTACCCACCACTGGCAGCTCGCAGAAGCTTTTAGAAGTCACCAACTCATACCAGAGCAGATAGGGTTCAGAAGGGAGGGCAAACAAAAATACTGGCACATTAGACAATACACTATGACAGTTTCCATTTTCAGTCATGCTGGAATCTAGTCCTGATTTAGCACTTTAAAAGGGAAAATAAAGCATTTACACAGTAAGCAAAACATACACTCTAAACACATGTGACTTTCTTTTTCTAGATACTTGACTTCCCCTTATCTCAACATGTGGCTGCCTCACTGACATGATGTGCAACCTAAAACTGCAACATCAGCCTGGGGGGAGCTGCCCCCTGCTGGACACGTGGATCCACAGACATATGACTGCAGGAGGCAGAAAAGGGGTTACTATGCAGCTCCTAGCTAACTGGGATTACTAGTGAATTGGCTCCCGTTTTTAAGATAAACAAATGTTAGTTGCAAGAACTATACCCTACCACCGTTTAGAACTGTTTGCAATAAAAAATGCAAATGGAATTTGAGGGGTCAGAAAGGTCCACAGTTGGACTGCATATTTAGGCACTCAAGCAGAACTGGATTCAACTCCCTAGTAGTAAAAAACAACAACAACACATTTGTCACTGTAGAGGTGCTAAGTGCTGGGAGTCTTTTCACACACAGCATTGGAGCTTGCACACTAGATAAGTTTCACAGATCTGACTCACGCCTTACCATGCAGCCTTAGCAATAGCACAATCAGAACGCCCTCTGAAAATGCTTGCACGAGAGAGTGAGGCAAGTAGTGATTTATTCCGCTCAATCGCATCTACAAGTCTTGGAAGAGGTTAATTCAAGAAGGGGTCTTTGGGATATCAGCTTGGGCGCATGAAAATGAAAAATGATCAAGCTTTTTTTTTTATTCATAATCCATCATTTATCAAACAAGGCACTTGATATATAAAAAAGATAATAATCAAAGGAATGGGCCTCCATGCTGTAATTTGCTTAACTCTGCTGAAGCATACAGAGGCAGTAATAACTTACTGCCTCTTCATCCCTTCACAGTAGGAGTTCCTTCAGCGTGACTCAGCAGATACAGCACAGTCTTGTGACAGCAGGTTAATGGTCAGCAGGGATTTGCATGAAGTGGCAGATTTCACTGGGAAACCCACTCTCACTCCTGAACCCTCTTCCTCTTTTCCCTTCTCCAATTACTTCTCAGGCTTGTTTCTGTAAAACAACCCAGAAACTCGTGCAGCAAACGGACAATTTTTCTGTCAAGCGCAACAGAATGTTTTTTGCAAAGAGGACAAAATTAAACCCTTAGTCACGGCTGTAAAGCCGAAATTTGTCATGTGAGGGGGAATTAAATTAAGATCGCGCAGCTCTGGTTCCGTTTCTACGGCTCCTTTTCGAGGGGGACGGGCACAGAAGGTTTCGAAACAACAAGAATAACTGCTGTTCACACTGCGAGGAGAGAAAGTCACGCTAGAGCGCGCCGATCCTCTGATCAGGCTTCGGCTCTTGCAGGGAGATCCCAACACACGCTAAAACTCCCACTTTCTGACCCCACAATACACCAAGCTAAAGGAAACCACCACTCCATGACAAAACAGTTCCCTGGGTTTGAATGTTCAAGGTGGGGGAGTACCGTCACACTGAGACGGGGCCAAGCTGGACAGTGCAGGCCTTCGCTTGGCAGAGCGAACGTGGCGCTGTGCCCGGGGGGAGGGGGACTGGCACTGCCTCTCGGTCTTCCCACAGCCGACGGGCAGCTCCGCTCTAATCAAAAGGCCAGACGCACAAACGGCGCGACTGCAAAGAGATAACCTTCATCAAACAAGCGTTTGGCAATATCATCCGGACCTACCGAACACCAGCGAATACCTTGAACGGAGGCCGATCAGCCAAAAGGAGCAGAAGGTTATTCCGATAACCGCGCCGGCTCTCACTGCCGCAGAGACTGGCCCAGCAGGGGGGAAAGGGAGAGCTTCACCAGATTAAAACGAGATAATTGATCCAGCGCACAATGGAGCGGACAGAAACATAGCAACAGCCTTGCAGTGACCTCTGTGTCCAGCGCAGGGTCGCAGCGAGGCAGAGCGCAACCCCGCAGACAATACGAGCGAGTCAAATACACCCTGGGCAGCACGCTGGCGCTGTGACGGGCCGAGATCGAGAGCACCAACCGCTGCAGAATAACAAGAGGTACAACTATGCTGTTTTGGGGGCAGCCCTCTGTACTGCAGAAGGATCCAGACTGACCCATAAGAAACTGGACAGTGAAGATAACGCAGAGGCTCTTGTACAATACAACTACGACACACAGCTGGCATGGCTCCGTCACATCGACGGGCTGCGGCAGAACGCTACAAAATGTGTTCACAACTTTCTTAGCAATACAATACTGTAGATATGCTCATACAACTAACCAAACTAAGGTTTCATAGAATCCTTAGTCTGCGATTTGTATGTAAATGGCCAGACTCAAACCTGTTACAATGCTCTGCTGTCATCCTGTGGATCTCTTCTTACGTAGGACAGAGGGGCTTTCAGATAAGTGAATATGATGAAACGTTATGCCTATAAGTGCTGTGCATCAGTCAGATACTCCTGCAATTTGCGAGTTCAGATTGCTTCTTTCAGATCAGACCTCACAAGGAAATCGCCTTACCAGCCTTGACCATGCTCAGCCCAGTGGGCACAGCATTCACAACACTATGTAATTATAATTAAGGCTTTATACATCTTTCAAGGACCATTTTTCAACAGCTGTAACAAAGCACTAAAAATTGGCCTTACCTGTCAAGAGAATTAGCTTGTCAATTTCCCACAACTACCCCAAAACCCCTTTTGAAAACAGCAACAGACATTTTGCTCCTTGTTTCACTTGCCAACTTCTTGCCTAGATGAGAAATTGGTCTAACCTGGCCCTCGGTTTCTCAAGCTGGAGTGGATCTGTCCACAGGGTACACTCACAGTGCACAGGTTGGAAATACCAATTAACCTAGACAACGCCTGAATGTGGGGAAGAAACCAGAACAGTCTTAGGAAACCCAGGAGAACATGCAAACCCCACCAGGGAGAAAGGTATCCCATGCCAGAAATAAACCCAGTATAGGCCACTCCTATTTATATGGTGGCATATAGCCTATGAGCAGTCCAATTCAGTAAACACAGCCCATCAACCAATTCATAACTCGCATTGCAGAAAGTTTTGCAATCTCCCCTTCAAAGGGAGAGTGTAGCTCAGGGGTGGCCAGTCCAGTCCGGTCCCAGAGGGCAGCAGCTGTCTGCCCAGTTTCCAGGTCTCCTCCAAGCAGCAACACACAAAGAGCTGGGAGCAGCTGATAAACTGGATCCACTAAACCAGTAAAGAGCTGATTTAGGTTGTTAATTGATGAGTTGGAATGAAAACCCGAACTGGCCTCACAGGACCAGGATTGACAACTACTGTCTGTCTTTTTTCCCAGTACTGTTGTGTGCAGTGATCTTTTCATGTTTCAGTCAGAAAGAAGGGAAGCCTATTTGAAAAACCCAGCTCCCTCGTGCCACAAAATGAATGACACACTTTTAATCTAATTAAAGAGACCAAGTCCGTGTCAAACCTCTCCTGCAGTATATGCAACAGGAAAATAAAAGGACCTAGTTTACAAGGGAAAAGTCCGAGAAAGCCCGGTCCCTAACATCACAGTAATTAAGGCTCTTTCTCATGTCCGGACTCCTGACTCGTCTCAAGTGACCGATAAGATCAAACCAGTCTCCCTACCATGCTAACCTAGTTTTCCACGGGGCTCTTCACTGAGAAACGTCCTTTATTCAAACTGCAAGCTGTTTTGAAAAGCGTAGAGCTTTTTTATTTTGCTCCACATTCGACCTTTACTATCAGACAGGAACTTTTTAATTCTTTTTCTCCACTCGCACGGTCGCTGAAAGAATCACATGCGAGATGTCCAACTTCACCATGGCCACTATTTCCAGATTTCGCAGGCTCACTGGACGATTACAGAACCGAATCACCATACAGGTGTTGATTTGGAAGCAGGTATTTTCCAGTTTATTGATAGAGCGGATATCCGTTTTAAGTAGCCCCAAAATACGTTTCCCCATATCAAAGTCTTCAAGGTACTGCGGAGGCGACGTAATAGCCCCCGCGCTTACGTCGTCTTAGAGACGCAACTTTAAAAAAATCCCACACTTGTGTACGTCGTTTTCCACTTCGTGACGTCAGTTTAGAGTAAAAAAACGCGTGTATCTGGCGTTTTGCTTGGCCGGTAATGAAAATAAGCGATGACGATTTCTATCAGTTTTTAAACCGCGATAATACAAATAATCACGACCAACTCATCCATGTGTCCAGGTAAGATAATCAAAACGAGTGTTTAGTTAAGGTCAATTCAGTTACAGTACAATGTCATTTCAAACGCTGTTGTGTATTGTTGTGTTCTGGTAAATCAAGATGAAAGTGACTCACATTTTTGAGTAAAATGGTTTTAAAATGTTACACCTACTCTAACATTACTATACTGAATTCGGGTAGTTGAAACGCAGTCCCTAACTCAAGTCTATTCCATTATATATATATAAATAAACCTTGAGGGAAAAGCCTCTATGCTTTAAGCTACAAGGACATTTTTTGCACTCTTAAGGTCTCCATATTTACATTCTTCCTATGGGGGAAAATCCCCCCCATATGCAATAATTCTTTGTGGGATTTTGTGGTCCCTAACCCTGATTTTTATTGGGAACCCCCTGTATTGCAGGCTGCAATGTTTGGATCATAACATCAGGGAAGTTTGTTCACCAGCCAGGTGAGGCCACTAGGCCCTCTTTAAAGGCTAGATTAAATTCCCAAATGCAGGCCTCATCCTCCTGGCAGCACAACCCGTTCACAACACCTACAACTCTTGATGTAATGTTCCCCCATCCTCTGTCCTACGTAGTATCCAATTTGGACCCCATGTTCTTGGTTTGGCAGTCTGAAGCAGCCCCTTGGATTAAACCCACGTGCTGTATACCCTTTAGGATTTTATACAGATCGCTATCTCTGGTCTGCCTTTGCTCTAGAAGACGGCAGATGTTTAGCTCCTTTGGTTGGAGTGTATGACTGAATCCACTGTGACCAGGAACATGCCTTTTCGTTCTTGCGATCAGGCACAATTGTTATTCTGTATTCCGCGCATTCCTTTTGCCTTTTTTTAAATCGCTTCCCCATACCGTCTTGATGAGGCCACACAGGAACCCTGCTTTGACAACCATCGAGGTTTTGACTCCAGCTTTGCGTCTTCCTGTGGCCGCCTCGGGTCTGACATCAGAAATTGCACCTTGCCGAGAAGGAAACGCAGACAGCCGCAAGAACAGGGCAATAATGGGAGTCCAAGGACACTCATTTCGCCCTGTGCAGCACAAAACTAAAAGATCACCAGTACCTGGGGATCAAAGTGCAGTTACCCTGGTAACGGTGCAATTAGAAAAAAAAAAACACACCAGCAGGAACCAGGCATAGAGGCAGATGCATTCACGTCCGAGTCCAAAAAAAACCCGGGCCGCAGTGTGCAACAGGGCCTGCAGTCTTGGGAGAAAGATGGTGAAAATGTAGGTCACAGCACCTCTCAAAACAAACGGCGAGACAGTCGCTCTGAACACAGTCTGACATGCCTGCACAATATACCCCAGGCAGTGCTATCAAAGAAAAACAAATCCTCATTGCTGTGGTGGCTGATTTCAGTGAAGTTAACAAAAAAGGCCAGAAGACATCACTTATCTCCAGCAGTAAACAGATATTTACCTCTTTACCTTTTTTGTGGAATACATCATACTGTATCTAACAAAGATCTGTCCATCTGAACTAACTTAAGGTCATAAAATAAATTAGTCTTAGTTCTCCCTATAGCTTGCAGTTTTAACCTTTTGGTGAAAGCCACGTTATTTAAGTAATATTCTAGACTCCGGTGAAATGCTTAATTCAAGGTTTCAGTTGCTGTCATTATGAATGTGATTGAACTAATAACTTTGAACCGTTAAACAAGCATGCCGTTTTTACTTAAAATACTGTAGAAAAGTATCACACAATTTATAGCACGTCTTCCAATCGGCTGTTGCGCTTAAATATTGTGTTTATCCGTATTTAACCCTCACCGATCAGCACATAGAAAATATTAAAATACTGACCCGATCAGAAAATTAGAAAGCTTCATGGGTGCAAGGGGTGTAGTTTTTAAAAATGTCACGCAAGATCCACTTCGCGTGATACCGAAGTTCTCCGAGACACTCGGCGAATCGGCGCGGACAAGACCGTCGAGGAACACGAGTGTCTGCGTGGCTCGGTTCCTGCTTTCTCCTAAATCCGCGATTCTCGTTTACCGAGACGAAAAACACCATCCTGCCCTCTGAAAACAATATGAGAGTTCCACAGTACCCAGTGCCGATCCTCGACAAAATAATATAAAATTAAACTTAAAACGTGTTTTAAAATAGTACTAGTTTGAAAGCCGGGTTTTCACGCCGGAGTCCAGTATTTTGCCCACAGAGCACAGGACTGGCACAGGTAGCCAAGAGGCACCGGCTATGACATGCCAGCTACAGCCTACGCCTAGGGCAGACAGGGAATTTCGCCTTGTTGAAGTTCAATCCAGCGGTACTCGGGGTACAACGATATGCCTCTAATCTGATGCACGAACCCGTTTCATTTATTGATTACAGGAAAGGGAGAGGCGACCGTACCTGACAGACCCCCCATCGCTGCGGTCCACGGCTGTTTGAAGGCGATATTCCACGCGAAGAAGGCGGAAAACCCCATTAATACGCCAAAGGTGGCGTAGCCTATGCTGATATAAGTCTTATTGATCCCCATTAAGAAAAAGCGTAGCCAAATAATTATAAAACACCACGGAATATAAAAAATATATATTTAAAAAGACTGCTGTTGTGCAAGATCAAGCAATACCCAGTCACAGACACGTAACGCTGCGTCCTGACAAATAAAGCACCTGTATGAAAAATAAGTGCAATTATCTAATCAGCAGTTTAGTGCTATGAAGTGCCCTACGATCCCATTATATCATCTGTTTACACCCTCTTCAGCAGGGAAGTACCGACTGACAGCCAGAAGGAAAGAAATACCCGAGTCTGTAACGGTGAGTCTAAGGGAGCAAAAGCTGTCTGTTTAGCGACGCCTGTGGTCAGGAAGACGAACTGCAGAGTTCTCTGTTCTCTGTCTCATGAGCACGGTACTGCTTAATAATAATAATAATAATAATAATAATAATAATAATAATAATAATAATAATAATAATTAGTAGTAGTAGTTCAGGTGGGTAGCTGCGTCAGCATGCGTAGTCTGCAAAGGAACAAGTAATAAAAGAGAAGAGAGAAAACACACCTGAAGAAGGCTTCACAGCCGAAACGTTGTTTTCTCTCTTCTCTGTTCAGCATGAAATAAACCTATTACTTGCTCCTTTGCATAATAATAATAATAATAATAATAATAATAATAATAATTAAAAACAGTTAAATAAAAATTTTAAATTAAAAATAAAGACACGGATAGCAACATAATAAAAGCCGTTCTGAAGAAGAAAATAGTTTTCGCAATCATACTGTTTTTTTAAATTATACTGTTTCGGGGCACGACAGTTAAACTACATTGCACAACCTGCTGCTATGAAGTTTGGCAATGCAATTGTTTCTGTGAAAGTTTTACGATCGTGCTTCAAAATCCCTTATTAAATTCAAGTAATTGTGGTAGCCAATACGTTATAGAGGGTTTTGTAAAATAGTCTGGTACAGACAAGCAGAGATAACGTTCCCTTTGTCTAGACTATTCGTTTCCAGTACGGCTGCCAAATAAACCGAGCCAAGAGCTCCCTCTGCTGGCTGTATACAGGCAGCGTTAACAGAGCTGCGGGGAACAGTCGATGTGAATCAGTTTCCGTGCGTGGTTATTGCTACAATATTTAATAAAGTCGGTCTTCTCGGAAGTCGGGTTCGGTATCTTAAAATATGAATTCCGAAACACGAAGTGATGTAAGATTCCAGAAATCGAGAAAGAAATTGTTGTGCTCCTAACTCTTAATTTAGTCTTATTTTTGGGATAATATACTGTATGTTCAAGTGGATAAAGCTGTTTTGTGAAGTGCCCTGCGTGTGGTTCAGACCAGCAGATCAGATGTCGCGCTACTCTGCGCTTCTCGTAATTTGTCTAAACCACATCCTTCATACAACAGAAACTGTCTGAACTCTCCAGGTGTAACTTATTGCAGCTATTTATTTTGGCTTTTGCTAACGGTTCCCACGGTGTTGTCCGAAAATCAGAAAAATCTCTGCGCAAGTTAAAATGTGGTGTTGTCCTCTTTCCTCTTTGATTTCCTTCACCCGATTTTGATCTCATTAACGGAGATGGAGGTTTTAAACATTGTTCAGTGATTTAAATTGCACCTATTTGCTTACTAACTCTGCAACCATACTCTCATTTTGTTTCTTAAATTCATTGTATTGCTCTCCAGAGCGACAGATCTGATCTAAGTAATTCGAGATCAACAAGCCTGACTATATTACGTGTAAAGTTGTAGAAGTGAAATGTAGAACTGAATTAAAACATCATCTGTATGTTAACTGGCTGTATGCTTTAGCAAACACTAAGGAAAATGTAAAAAGCCTGAGAAAAAATTCAAGATTAGGCAAGAAAAAACTGACACATCACAATGTAACAAAGTAATAAAGATGGCAAACAGAAAATTAGGATATATAGTTAAAAGTTGAGAATGTTAATTAATGTTAAGAGTGTAAATTGCACTTTTACATCCATCCAAAGAGTATTTAAATATATATATTACTATTCTGAAATCAGATCAGTTAAGAACAATTAGCATTCATTCTTAAAGGTTTCAAGGAATGCTACACCGACAGGCTACATACAGTATCTGCACCTTGTGAAGTTCTGAACAGAGCAGACTATGAGGCAATTCAATTTCCCTATGGACCTGGGGTGCTGTCTGTGTGGAGTTTGCATGTTCTCTCTGTGTTCCCATGGGTTTTTCTCCAGGCTCTCCTGTTTTCTTCCCACAGTCCAAAGACGTGTTGGCAGGTTCTTTGGCTTCTGGGAAAATGGCTCCTGGTGTGAGTGTCTCTGTGCCCTGTGGTGGACTGGCATCCCACCCAGGGTGTACCCTGCCTTGCGCCCGTTGCTTGCTGGGATAGGCTCCGGCTCCCCTGTGCCCTGAATTAGAAGAAGCAGTTAGCAAATGGATGTATGGAAAATTCACCTGGGCTTAGAACATGTCCACCCAGGAGCCAACGTCTTTGGAATCAGCAGCAAAGCACCAACCTGGGCACAAGTGGAAACTATGGGGAAGTGGAGTGGAAACTGGGAAAAGGAAGACCTACCTTCCACAAAGGACTGTGAGTGACTGGCACAAGCCTCCCAGTTACGCATCAAAGCCGATAACCTGGATGAGAAGTAGCTGGGTAACAATAAATAGCTACTAGCAGCTTAAAAGACAAGACGTCACCATTCTTGCGCTCAGAGATAGGCTGCCGATGCTCAGAAACCTCCTTTTATTTAAGTAGGTTGGGCCATTTTATAAAAAGGCGGTTGCTCAAAATTGAGTAGGGAGCCTGCCTTTACACTATTTCTCCTGCAAATTCAAATGCTTGCATTTTTCATAGCCTGTGCAATCACATCAAAAGTAAGCTCACACAACTGCTGTATGAGAAGAGAGCTTCTGCTGTGGTGGTAGGGGCTTTGTGCACTTTACCACCACCACAGGAAATGGAATAAACAAGATGCTCTGCATAGATCGCTGTTCGCTTAGCTCAGGAAGGTAGTGTGTATTTTTGTATTGTCTGGGGCTGTGACCTCGGTCCCACTCACTGCAGCTGTTGTTAAGGATCCCCAGCGCCGCTTCAGATTTACGGGTCTGATTATTGCAGTTTGCTGTCCTTCCCACTGGCATACAGTGCCGATCTGTCTTATTACACATGCAACACCCAGCCTGGTCAACGCTGTCTCATGCTGACCTCTGACCCCTGCTCACAGCAACAGGTCGTGGTCCAATCACAGAGCAGCAGGAAACCAGCATGAGCTCCACTTCTACCACAATGTATCACACCACAATGCTGCGATTAAACTAGCTAGAAACAGTCTGCTTCTCGTGGACGTGAAAGCCTGCTGAGACTGAACCTCCTTCCAAAGGACTCAGGTAAATACCATCTCTCAGATGTCTGTGGGAATTTTCCTCATTTCAATGTTTTGTCTTCTTTCCCATCCATAAGGTCTGATAAAACTAAGCAAATAAGTAACAATGCAGATTTTTATGTTCCCTCTCTTTATTTACCTGCCTGAACTGTGCCTTTTGTGCATTTGCTGTAGATCTGATGTTTTGTTGTGGGCATGATTTTTTTTTTGTTGTTGTGAAGTTTGGGAATTATTTTTTTTTTTACATAACATAATTACAACCTTGGCTAAAGTTGTATTTAGATTTCTGAGGCAAGGAAATATTTGTCCGAAGGGTGTTGAGTCCAGTAAACTGGGTTGTCTCTGAAAAGCCCATATGCTCTGTTTTAGCCATGTGGATCAGGGGTCTTGTACGATGGTACTATACTCCAATAGACCCTGGCCTTATACTGTAGGTCACCTGTTTTTAAAGATGAGCAACACCTGTGAGCTACTGAGGAATTAAGCAAGTCATATGTTAAACTCAGAGAACTCTGATCCTTGAGGGCTGAAGAGTACACAGCCTTTAGTCCTGAATGATCTCTAATTAGATGGTTCAATTGTTGGATACAGAATTTTCCCATATCTTTAGAAACTGGCAAGTTATACAGTCAAGCAAAAAGAAACACAAGCTACAGCCACGAAGATGCTTCCGCAGCAGAATATAAAATATCCGAAGAACAAAATCTTACCCACCACTACAACTCTGCGAAGCACTGATTCAAGAGACCGGTTTTTGTAATCCGCTGCTGTGATTTGTGTTCTTTCCACGTCTAAAGACTGCGCCTTCTTGACCGCGGGCTGCCTGAGCCTGCTTTCGTTCAACCAGATGACTTTTCTTTTCTCCGCCACACACACCTGAGGTTTTCATTTCCCGGCTGTGTCAGTCCAGCGATGCTGAACGCTTCACGCATTAAACCACAGCACCTGACTTGTGAGAGGCGCCACCGTGCCAACAAGCATCTCTACAAGCAACTGCAGAGGGGCAGGGAGACAGACAGTCAGGCACAAGACTGACATTCGCACCGTGGGTGGGCTAGTGTATAAGGGGAAAATAGGACATTTTTCATGTTTTCTTTCTGGGGCTGGGGGGGAGCATTTTTGTATGAATATTGTATAGCTGCAGATAGATTAAGATCAGGGGAAATCGCATATGTTCCCTCTAGCAAATGGGCTAGATGAGTCTTCATTTTACCTTTCTCATGGTACATTCAACAGATAATCACTAGAAATAGACCACTGGATAGGCAGTGTATTTAGATGGTACAGGTATATTATTATCTGGTCCAGAAGACCTTATAGCCTTGGATCATGGGAATGTGTGTCAGACCTATTGCCTCTTGCTTTAGTGGAACATGGCTGTTACAGAGGGAGAGGCAGAGCGAACAGGATTATTGTGTGTGTGTGTGTGTGTGTGTGTGTGTGTTTAAGGGGGGGGCGGTTGTCTCTCCAGGGACTTGTAAGAGACAGCTGTGATTCCGGTCTGCTCCAGACCTCCTCCCCTGCCTGGAACTTCCTCCCCTGTCCTTCCCCACACTGTGGCTCAGCCGGCTTGCGCTGCTCTGTGTGGGGGATGAAGCTACCCACTGGCCCAGCGCCCTCTGGGATACCTGCTGGAGGACAGGGTTTCCACCCTGCCTCTAAACTGACAGACGCGAAAGCGATGCATTATAAGGAAAATCCAGTGTAAGCGGTGAATGATACGTGTTGTAATAATAATAATAATAAACTTTATTTTATATAGCGTCTTTAAAGGTGGCTTCTCAAAGCGCTTTGTTGTAGGACAACATCTCTCCTTGCTCCCATTTCAAACTGGCTGATGTCCCTGAAAGATGAGTCTCAGTCCTGCTGCTGGAGGACCCCTGTGTTTCCTCCTCCTGTGTGCTTTCAGCTTCTGGAAAAGCAGCCACAATTTTATTTATATTTATATTATAATAAATATGAATGTGACAGATTCGGGTTCTATGGGTATGTGCCCTTGCCGCTGCCACCCCATGGGATCGAACCCGGGTCTCCGGCGTCACGCAACAGGGAACTTGCCGGCTGAGCTAAGGGAGACCTCCCTCGGCCCAGGCAGCCAAGCTTCCCTGTTGTGCGCAGGGATGTATTCGTTACATTGATGTTGTGTACCAGTAGGAGGTGCTCTTCAGTCTGGACCAAGGTTCTGGAAACCAGTACGTCAGTATGGTGACCAGGGATATCGTGCAGCTGAAGGTGCTGCTGTATTTCATATCTTTATTCAAGCTGATCTGACATCCTGACATCCTCTCAGTCATTAAGGATCCCTGGGCCCTGCTCATGAGAGTAGAGGCGTTAACCCCAGTGTCCCGGCCCAACATTCGGGTCTCCCTGAAGTTTCCCTTAATTCCACTGGCGGAGCAGTTTCTCCCTCGTCCTCCTCCTGACCCGTCTTGGGCTCTAGCTGTCCCGGAAGGGTTATATGACCCCTGTCATCGAACTGCTGGTCTGATCAAACCTTTTCAGTCCGTTACTCTGCTCTGCTGCAGGAGAGCCGGGAAGAAATTCTGCAGTCAGGGCTCAGCTTGCTTATGAAGTCGCTGCTGTGTTTTCCGTTTAAGCAGAGTCCGTTTAGAGGTGTCCAGACGTGAGCGGGGCTGTGCTCCACTGGGACCCCATCACTGGGACCCTACACACCTGAATGATGGCAGGTGTGAGGCCCGCAACTTGATTTGGGGTTGACACTAATGTCTATGAGATTTGTTCTTAAGAGCTGTAAAAGCAGCTTTTAACGGTCAGCTAGAGATCAGCTAGCCTAGTTGACTAGTTGACTAAGAGCTCGGTTAGTCTGGAGAGCAGAGGGCAGAGGGTTCCTCCAGGACCAGGGCAGTGACTGTCGGAGTAAGAGGGAATAGGGAAGGAGGAGAGAATGTGCTTGAGACAGAGAAGGATACAAAAGGCAGTCGCAGCTCGGCAGCGTTTGGGAAACAAAAGGGTGGAGTTCTGTAGCGGGAAGCGGGCCTCCCTTCCTGCATCCGACATCAAGTCCGCTCCCAGCCCGGAGCGGAGGAGGAGCAGAGGACGGGAAGACAACCGGCCCGCCCGCTGTCACGGGTGACTCACGCTGCGGGTATAGCACAGCGACTCAGCGCGGCCGAAGGAAAGGAATGCCAAGTCAAACGACATGCATGGAGACCGCGGTGCGGCCCAGGAAAAGAGAAGAGTGAGAACGGGCTCTGCCCACTCGCGGAAAACAAGACCCCAAAATCCCACACAAACGAGCGCAATTACGCCGTTACACGGGTCTGCCGGTAGGTGGCAGCATTTCCCGCGCAACAATTTTCCTGCGCCGCATCCGTCGCCTGCTGGATAATGCATCTGTTAATGCTGGGCGGCTCGGCGGTCAGGGACGCTGACCCAAACCCACCAGGTAGCGGCCTGCGGGCGGACAGCACGGACCCCTGCCGTTCAACTCTTGAACTCTCTCTCCGAAGTTCTTTCCCACTTCCCCTTAGCTGTCCGGTACCTGCCGACTACCGGTCTCGTCGTGTCTTGAGCCTTAGACGGGGTTTACCAACCCGACCTGGATGAAGGGGTTTCTAGAGTGGGTGGCTGGTTTCACGCAGATACTGATGCAGACTCAAACCTGCCAGTCTGCAAGGAAGGCAAAGACGGCAGCAGTCCTGGAAGAACTGAATGGTTTCTTTATAGGAAGTGCTGTCCTGCTGCATTTTGTTTTTGCTAATTCCGTCAGCCTTCACCTTTCTAAAACTTGTATCGTGTCTCTGCGAGTTTCAATGCAGTAAAACAACTCGGTAAAAGTAAAAGAAATTCATGGTGGAGACATCTTCCACAATGGTTAATATTTTTAAACTTATTCAGTGTGAACTCTTACAAGACGATGACCAGATAAGCTTTATTGTCCCTTAGGAGAAACATTTTTATCGAAATATATTGCTGCTGTACATCTAAAAACAGTACACATCACGTCTGTGTATGCACATACATAACGCATTATATAACAACAAGTAGTCATGACATATTGCACATACTGCATTACTTAGATGTTGCATAATTGGTTTATACTGATACCCCCGTGTAATTTGTACTGCTTTAATAAATAAAGGAAGCCATGAATATTTGAATCTATTTGATCTACATTTGGGAATCCTAAAATGTTTTCCAGAGAAAAGAAGGTCTTATTCAGAATGAGGAAAATGAAAAGAATCTGATATACAGGATTTGTCTGCCTGTCTTATCATGGATTGTTCAAAAATTGTCCGCAACTAGGAGTGCAGCTTGGCTCCCATAATCTTTGGCAAGGTGAAGGTCAGCTCCAGATCTATCTCCCGTCCTCCAGAACCCAGGCTCATACAGTCTGTGGAAGCTTTTTTTTCAGTTGGGAGGCAGAAAAACAAATAAACAGGCTTTGTAATAAAACAAAAAACCGAGCCCCCCTTAGGGCATGCTGGGGAGGGTTTTAGCCCACCTTGGTGTTCAACTCTTTAATCTTTTTTTTCTTCCAGCAGTCCTAAACTTGAATATCTATGCAGAACCAAAGGTGATCATACTGTATGTTTCACCCACTGTGATCGTCAGAGAGCACAGAAGCAAAAAATAGCATTTTAATTTCCTGACTGTTTAAACAATGCCTTTAAAGTGGTATCTCGTACTACACAAGCATCTCTGCTTCCATTAATCTGTCAAAGAGCCCACTCGATTTTTAATTTATTTAGGAGTTCTACAATTTGTTCTGGTGACATTATTTGATGCCAGAATGTTCCGAACAGAATGACCTAAGTGTAGGGCTGCAGAATGTGAGAGAGGGCACAAATTAGTGTGGCACCATGTCCGTGTCCCTTTTCTCCCCCTCTGCTTAAACATAAACACAGTTCCTGTTGTCTTTTTTTTCCCCACTTGATCTGCTTTGAGAAAATTCTGCAGCATTAATTCTTATCAGATTGATTTAGAGGCCTGGAAAATAACATCCCACTCAGAAACAACTATGGGGCACAGGTATTGGAATATGTGACAAGACAAATAAAACTAAAGAAGAACAGACTGTTCAAAATATTTATATACAGACCCACGTAGTGGTTTTAAAGAAGTACGGTGCCTCTGTTTGCTATTCAATTCCATAGTCAGAATCCTGCATTCATTCCTGGTAGAGTTCAGCCTTCTGTGGCCTCTTCTTTATCAGAAGAACCACTGTTTACATTCCCAAGAGCAATAAGTTGTAGGAACACCAGATTCCTTCTCTCTCCACGCACTTGTATCTACATCACCACCCCAGAAAAAAACGTCAGTCATATGGGTTTATGCCATAGCTACTGGCCATTAGCGTCCTCACTGAGACAGTCTTTTACATGGAAAAATAATCGGCCCCCTTGGCACTGAAGTGGCAGTAAAGACAAAATAATGTTCCCCATGTGTGAAACTCCCCAAGAGAGCACACAGCGTAAGCACTGCAGGAATCACAAGGCTGTCATTTAGTTATGTCTGGTAGGACTTATCTGTATCAGACAAGGTAAAGCATCAAATGTCACAGATTGGTTGCATGAACTGTGAAGCAGTGCGGCACGGTGGAGCAGTGGTTAGCATGACCTGCTGCCTCGCCGTGCAGGGGCCCTGGGTTCGGTTCCAGACCAGGGTGCTATCTATCTGCGTGGAGTTTGCATGTTCTCTTCGTGTTTTGTATGGGTCCTCTCCAGGTGCTCTGGTTTCCTCCCACAGTCCAATGACATACTGGTAGGATCATTGGCTTCTGGGAAAATTGGCACTGGCATGAGTGTGTGTGTGTCTGCGGGAATGGACTGGCGTCCTGCCCACGGTGTATCCTGCCTTGTGCCCGATGCTTGCTGGGATAGGCTCCGATTCCCGTGGTGACCCTGAATTGGATAAAGTGCTTAGAAAATGAATGGATGGAACTCTAAAGCACAAAAAGCCTTACTCCATTTGGTCTGCTCACTGACTGAACAGTATCATCGGGTTGGCATTGCTGCACATTGTATATAGCACACCAGCGCCTCCTGGAGTATTTCAAAATGCAGAAGTGTGGAGTTTGGCAGCAATGATCAGATTCTGATTGGATCAAATTGCAGCTGGGGTGGTTCAGAGCAGGGTGAGGAAACCTTCCTCACCATTGGTGTGGCAGAATGTAACACAGTAGTATAACAGTAATACAGTAGGTACAGTTGTAATACAATATGTACATTGCATGTACATCTGGCAGTTAACTACTCTACTCATTTGTGTGGCACTATGTAATACAATAGCAGTGTGAAAGTGTGCACCCCACTGCACCCCATCGGGCCTGCAGTAGCGGTGCTGGACCGACTGCCAGCAGGATTAGGTTATCTCTGCAGCCGCTCCCCGTGACGGCCTGGCGCCACGCTGTGTCTGCTCTCCAGTCGACACCTGAGCTCCCAGCGGCTGGCAGCCAGGGAAGCAGGCAGCTGATTCCAGCGTACCGATACCGTACTGGTCTTACAGTAGGTGGCACCACCTTTCTTTATTCTCGGCCTGCAGCGCAATAGCGCAGGGGTTCAGCAACAGGATGAGTCAGGCAGCACGACTTCTGCGAGAGCAGCAAACAATTGCAGATCCCAAGTGTTTAAAAACATTCCTGCACAATATTCTACTTGGTAAATCTCTGCTCATTTTTAAGTTTTTGATTACTGTGATTTACTTATCAAAGGCCTTTTTTTTCTCAGGCCGCAGTTCAAATAAAGAATGCATTAACTTTTTTTTTTTCCATTCAAGACTGCTGTAACACTCCCCTGTTAGTCACTACTCGACTAACAAAACGCAGAAGAAATGTGTCGTCATTAAAAGTGCTGATGCTACAGATGCTCAAACTAATGGAAATAAATGCATGTTGATAGCAGGCTCCAGACTAACAGGTTTAATGATGTGCCACTGTGCCTGCCATTATGGCCTCTCAGTGTGAGACATAGCATTAGAAGTCTGCAAACTCCAGAATATTATGTAGATGCAAGAGCAGTGGTCTGCGCAGTTTCCTTTTGAGTAAGGCCCCCTGTACTAGGACACCGAAGAGCTCAGATTTGTTTCAAAGCCCCAAGAGGAACTGTGGGAGACTGGGACTTCTTACATAACTTCCAAGGGCAGGAAGGAAAGTACACAATGGCTGGGGTCATTCCACTGTTTGTGTTACACCACAGGCAGGGGAAGAAAAGAAAGAGTGCTGGGAAAAACAAGAGAGCTGTCCACTACTGCCGGCAGCCTCCGCGCCCTGAGTTCTCTGCCTCTGCATGCTGTGTCCTCTGTGTGGCCTCTGTGCTCGGTGACACTTCTCAGGGAAAAGACAACCAAGACTCAGAACTAACAGTCCACCCCTCCTCCCACCCCTTCTCTCTTTTTCCCCCAGTCACTGCCAGTCCATTTACCCAACTGCTTGTCATCCGCTCACCTCTAAACCCAGCGAGGACCATGGAGGACTCGGAGCACCATGCAAATCCTACGCCCACACCAGGAACTTCTGCAGATCAGGAACTCCCGGAGAAGCCCGACTGTGCTTCGGTAACAATGGAATCATTGTTGTATTAGAATTGTGGAAAACATCTGAAGGAGGAGATACAGAGCCTGCCTTTAAAATAGATTACAGGAGTAATAAAAATGGGACACAACACCAAGCACAAAACGGAGCAGACACAAACATCTGCATCTGGTTTAATGAGATATAGACCTACTTGACTAACACCTGTGATACAGGTGAACTAACATGAGGCAGCCTGGATATGAGCCAACAGTCATGTGGGAGGCTGATGTTTACACCATAGGCAAAGACAGGATTGTGGGAAAACAAGACAGTTCCAGAAAAAAAAACAAACATCTGAATTGTTTTAAGAGGTGCTCATTTTGATACAGTGAATATATAATGAATGCATATCAGTAATAACCTGATGCACACTCAGGCCTGGGAGAAAACTCACATTATCCTATGTGAAAGCAAGGGCTGGCTCATCATCCTTCTGTGCTAAAATATTTAGCCGACAGCTAAATACTGACTGACAGCACGACCCCATGAACACGTGCCTTTCAAGAAGGCTGTACGTTTTTTAACATCTCCTGTTACTATTAACTGCGCCTATATCAGAAATCGGTCATATACACAATGCACGCAGGCACGTACACAAAACATACCAGTGTCAGTGTCCCGAGACTTTCAGATTCTTGTGGGCCTCCAGGCAGAACGATCTATTGATTTCTGGGCAGAAAAAAACAAACAAACAGTTGCGTAAGAGTTTGCATGTTTCGGTCATTCAGATCGCCTTGTTTCCATGTCATGGAAGTCACTCTGATAAAGGCCGCAGAGTGTCTATGCTGAGCCACTCTGAGCTGTGCTCTCAGAGTCTTAGAAGGGTGCAGAGGTGCGAGATTGAAGCAGAAGTCCCAGCGCTAGTGTCTCAGATTCTCACAAAACATGAAAGAGACCAGCTCATATCTTCAGTTTCAGCCACCAGCCCCGTCAGAGAGGTCAGTCAATTATTTGATCGACTGGGAACTAATTTAACATTTGCCCCTGATCTGACGCAGTGTGTGGCTGTATAAATCCATAGACACCCGCTATCTATATAATAGTATATCTTTGTACGCTGGCAGCCCTGTCGTTTGAAGTGCGGATCAGTGCTGTGGACACGTTGGCTGGGTGTGAAAACGAGGGGGTGTCCCGAGGGTGCCCCTCTCATTCAAGTTGTCTTCATCTCTCCGCAAGCGTCCATTAGAGAGGACAGGAGAGGCACAAAGGAATGGGAAATAAAGGATGTGGACTTCAGGACTGAATCTGGATGCTGGCGTTCGTCTCCTGAAGTACACAAGCACAGCTACAAAACCAGAAGGAGCCACTTGGTCTATTTTCAGTTCACCTCGGTTTTTGGTAGCTAAAAGGTCCAAGGATCATCTAGCCTGGTTTAAAAGAGGAAGTCACGGTGCTGGTTTTGGTAACATGGCTTGGCAGCTTGTTTCATACTTTCATAATAAGCTGCTCTACAGCCTTATTGGGATATTCTGCATTGAGAAAAAGCGAATTCGGCGTAAACAAGAGAACCCTTTAAATCTAGCGTTTGTTTAGCGACAATCTCTCGCTTTCTGCACAGGGGGGCATATTTATTCCTCACTGTGCCTTGATCATTGTACATCCTACCCCTCCAACCGTCCAGCTCTGCGGAGAATCAACCGTGGTATAGCTCTGAAAACACCAGCTTCACGCACACGCACTCAGCACGGGGCGGAGACTTTTCTTGAGGGGACAATGTTGCTTCTGGGCCTGTTGTCATTTCAGTCTCGACTGCAGCGCATGTCCGGTCTCTGACAGAGCTGTACACTCAACCTGGAGCCTGGTGTGTTGACTGAGACCCCGGCCCTCAGCTCTGCCCCGGCCGCAAGCCAAGGAGACGAGTTTAGAAAATAAGGACCCGTCTCGCCTTCATCCGCTCTTCTCGCCCGAGAGCCGTGGTGTGACGCTGTAGTTCCTCAGAAGAGCAGGGTCTAATACAGATGCATCTCACCACTCTCCCCAAAATAAAGATAAAGAACATCTATATTTAGTTTAAAAAAAGTATTGGTATTCGTATGTGTATTATCTATATTTACCTGCGGTGAGGATTCACCAAGGTTATACACAGGCTAAAGACGCAGTAAACACTGACTGAATTGAGGCTTGGTGGCTTTGCGGTTACACCCTCCCCTGCCCCCTGACCGCCCCGGCGCGTTATCTACCCGGCTCCACCCGCCTTTCTGGGGGCAGAAGTGGCAACGCCCGGCACGGGAGGAGCTGCTTACCCCCATGACAGGGTTACAACGCAGAACACGAAGTTAAAATCCGGAACCAGACCGATCCATTCTCAGCCCGCAGCAGCGCACATGAACCAAACCCCCAAAAAACCCCTCCAACCCAAAAACGCCGGGGGAAACAAGAACAAGGAAAAGAACTGCAAAACTGGGGGGGGTTGCCAGTTTTCCTTTAATTACTGCGATAACTTCGTTTCAACTTGCAGGGCTGCCACTCCATTCTAGCTGCACGGGTCCGTCTAAAACATCTCAACTTGTCAAAGCAAATGGCCCTACCTATCACAACACCTAGAAAATGTACCCCTCTGAAATCTTCGATGTCGGGGGATAAACATAAGTTGCATTTTACCAACCGCCTTTCTAGGGGTACGCATTAGATGTGTGCTTCAACCGAACATGCCAGTAAGGGGGATCGTCTCTTTTTTTCGAAAATGTAATAAAAAAATAGCTTTCAGCTTCACGTGTAAAATTTTAGAAGTGCGCGGGAGCTCGCCAGACCACAACTCGCCTTTCTAGTTCTTCAGCTCCAGCGGGCATTTCACGCGTGACGCGTGAGCACTTTTCACAAGTTCAAGTTTATTGTCATTATACTCATATACAGGTATATGGTATAACGAAAAGCTATTTAGCTAGCTCTCGGACATAAGTAGTACAAAGAAAAAAAACAACAACAACAATACAATTGTATAACAAAAGAAAGACAGAGTCAACAGGTAGAGTGCAAAGAACAACAACAGGCGATTTTCGGAGTGGGGGCCGAGTCTTCTCCGAGCGCCGGCGTCCCGCGGCCGAGCTCGCCCTGTAAATATTTGCTCTGCTTGGTACAAGGTGTGCGTCTGAGGTACAGAGAGTTACGAGCTCCGGATACCCCCCGCAGGCGGTTGTCTACTGTACATCTTTACTCCGCATCTGCAGCAGCAGATCAGCTCAGGACGTGCGCCAGTTTAGACGAATTCTGCGCTGGTTCTTGGACGTGTCCTTTCGCCTTCCGTCAGCAGCCGAGCCTCGCTGTTACTGGAGCACTAGATGCCGAGAACTGGAAAGGAGTAACGTGGAATTTCCCTGCACGATTTGGTGTTTTTTTCTTGCCCTTTTTCTTGAGCGCCCAAGGCTGCTGGCATCAGGGATGTCGACACCTTTAAACTCCCATGAACGCGAAAAGGGAATAGTTCAAACTCCCGCGTCTCGAAATACCGCGTTTTGTAGATATTCGATATAAACATTATATATATATAGCGGCCAACTAACAGTAATAAGTATGTAATGGAAACAGCTTTCATTAGAGTATAACACATAAATTAAGAAATTACTGGGATTTGTCGTTTGCAAAAAGCGCGACCAATGTATATAGCCGCTGAACAGAGAAAGTAGTGAGGTGGTTCCTTTGTAAAGCGTTTCTTTAGGCATCGCTCTGCCGCTGCAGTTAAGCATTATTTAGTGTTGTCTGGAACCCAGCCCTCCAGAACGAACTTCAAAGAATTGCTTTCACAGGTTTTCCAGATTTCGCTTTAATCTTGCCAAGCCCGTGCTACAACCTGCCGGAGAGGCGACGGAGGGGACGTTTAGCTCCAAACGCGGCGCTTCTTTAATTAGAAGACGCCTGTGACGGACCTCCACGCAGTTCGCTCGCCTACTGTGCTTCGCGTTGCTCGGCGCGGCGGAGCGGAGCCTGAGCGAGTGTGTTAGGCGGCGGGTGGGAAGGCGTGTGGGCCGGGAAAGGCAGCGGCAGCGGCCCCTGGCGTCCAGTCTGCTGTGCCGAGTGCGCAGACACTTCTGCCGGAGTCCCGTCTACCTGCCGGCGATGCGGGCGCCCCGTGGAACACCCTGCCGCGCCAGGACGTCCCCCCGCCGCGAGACACTGCCACACGGGCGCCCTGTGCCCACGAAGAACGTCGGATGCGGGTGTTAACAAAAACTGGGGAAGTTTTTCACGCAAGAGACGCCAGAATGCATTTGTTTCGGAGTCACAATTACCGTGTCTACCCAGACCGCTGCACGCTGGAGACGGACACCTCACCCATCCGCGGGATCAGCTGGGTACGTTTTACTTTGAATTATTGGATTAATCGCAGTCTGTCCTCTGCTTCCCGCTAACACCACACACATTACGCATTTTGTCTGGTGTGGGATTTATTTAGGAGCGGCGAAGATACTAAATTGTGTCGGAACCAGCTTTCAATCACGGATAAGGTAAACCGTTCACTTGACCCAATTAGTTATGTGACGTTCAGAAAAAGGTGCAAGTCTCCGTACAGTAGTTTGCCTTGGAGTATTTGCGAAGGGTACGTAAACAGTATGCTGCCTGCTCAGATTCTTCTCCACGACGTCGTGCTGCTGTCGCAGGCGCTCTTAGGACGAGCAGGTGTTTTCGATCTGGGAATTAAATGCCCGAGTTGAAGCAGCTGAACCACAACTAACACATCGGTTCTGAAACCCTCACCGGGGCGGGAGCGCATTACAAGTCCTACCGTATAAAGAAGCCCCGACAGTTTCAGAAACTCTCAGCTTACGATCACATCAATTTTCTATGTCCTACAATACATCGTTCATTTTTAATAACACCGCGTCTATGTTGTGTGCAGGTCGTTTTTATAGGTCCTTAGTTTACGCTGATGTGGCCACCTCTAACGCGCTTGGGTTACTTTCCGATGTTTGCCTCGCTGTCAGTGTTTTCCTAGAGCATTCCTGCACTAGACTGTAGGGAAAACAAGCAATTTGTGGTTAATAAA